ATAAAAAGAAGAATTAAAAGAAAATAACGAATAGCAAAATAGAAAAATGTAGCCTTGTCATTTGAAAAACCATTTTGCTTCTCATGGAAAAACTCGTCATCCTGTTTAAGAGATTAAATATTTTGTCCATTAAATTTATCTTTGTGTTACTACTTGGGCCTATGCCGACAGCCTACGGACTTGAACACGCAAGCTGTCAAATAACTTATAAAAAAGGACTTTAAAAAGGGTGCATCCCAGGCGTATAAAATTTTCCGATTCCCTAACGGAGATTCATTCCCTGCCCACTTAAGTATCAAGAACCGGCGTTGAGTAATAGAGAAACTCCTCCTATGGCAAGAATTTCTTTCCCTTTTCGGTGCTCTAATAGAACTTGGTTAAGACATCGCTAACCTTAAGAAACGGAGGTAGATTTGAGCATTCTGGGATGCTCCCCGGTAGTGAAATCCGCCTTGATTACTTCCCATCGCCAAACACCTTTGTGTCAATCAAGATTAGGAAAGAGACAAATGAAAACACAAGAGATGGAACCACTTCAGGTGATGAAACCATTCTTTCGCGGGCAAAATATGGAACTTCTACTCACCTACCATGACACCTCTTCAAACCGTACCACTAGTCCATTTTAAGACGATTAAGCAAATAATTGACTGTCTTAAACGGAATTTTATTAATAAGCTAAATCTTATGGAATGGTCTTGAGAATGCAATTTACTTCAGAAATCCACTTAGCAAAATTATTTTCCGACAGAAAATTGATGCTCATGAGCAGCTACTCCTTAATGTGAGGGAACAGATGTATGTCATAAAAAAGTTCCCAACAGTGGACAAAGAAGTAGCGCACCTTCTGTTAGCCACTGTAGTGCATTAGAGCCTCATTCCAAAAAAAAACAGGATTCCGTTTAGAACAAAGTCTCACGTGATTGGTGGACTCAATCCTGGGGCTACATGATTGGTTGACCACTAGCCAATCAAATGTCAACAAAAGTTGACTAGTTGAAGAGGGGACAACAAGGGAGGGATGAAATGACTCGGTCTGAGCTTGAAATGAAGCGATCAGAGCTATTTTTTCCAAAACATTCTCACTTTAAACAAACTCTAGCAATAAAGAATGCGAGTTGAGTATAACCAGCTCGAGGTGAGTAAACAATCATCACCTCGAAGGATCTTAGAGCTTGCCATTTCTTACTGAATTCCACAAAAATTGTAGAGAAGTGAAATTATATCCATGAAATTCACAATTGAGGTAAAATAATTTATCAAGTATCCGCAACTGCTCCGCACCATCGATGACGGATGGGTGAGTGGACGAACGCAGGAAGGATGAAGGGCTGTGAAGGACATATTTGCTTGGATGAGTCAAGTGTGAATATGTGAATGAGATGGTTGATGAGTAGGCGGCTGAACAAAAGCATGGACAGCTATACCCAAGGCAATGCTCTAGTAAAAGCTGGAAGGACCAAGGGAGCGACTCCAACGGCAAAACGGAAACAAAACCGTGGCATCAATAGGAGTTTAGGCAAACAATCACAATTGGAAAAGCATAGGGAGAAAAAATTCCTAGAACCTCCAATTGCAAAGTCGCTAACACACCATCAGGATGGTAGGCAAAGTGGGTCCCCAAGTGAGAAGAACTGACAGAAAATGTGAAGAGTAAAGAGGCAAAAAGAGGGCAACCGTCCTACGGATGAATGGATGGTGGATGGATTGATGAGTTGAAACACAAGTCCCTACCTCCAATACAACCCAGAGTCGCATTGAGCATTGCCACATTCGTGGAGAAGGCAGCAGTCAGGAGACCCACGGTTGCAATCACTCCTCCAGCCATAGCCACCGGTCGAAAGTCGAATTGATTGCTAAGCGCGCTGGCCAGTGGACCTGTGGGCGGAAAGTACGGTGAATTGACTGAATTGGAGTACGACAAAACATCTACCAGAGGGGCAAGGGGAGGAGGGGGCAAGGGATAAAGAGAGGATGGCGTGCAGTTGGCACTGTGACGTCTTAACCTAATTGTGTGACATTCAAGGTTGTCACACAGCAATCGCTCGCTTGTTATTGGTAGAAACGACTTCGAGACCGACGCGAGGGGAGGAATCCCTTGTACCTTCCCACGAGCCTCACTTTCACGGTCGTCTCACATCAGCCAACCACTTAATTATTGAATGCTTGCTTTAAGCCGTAAATATAGGGGAGTTGTCAGTTGTCATGTTGAATTGGGAACTCGCCATCAACTCAGCTTCGCTGATTGGTCGGTTTTTTGAGGGAGCTGACAGGAATTGTAACAAACCTACTCCAGCTAATCTAAGCGTAGGTTCAGTCAGGCAAATTCGTTTTGCCACTTCCACTACTGCAGGAGCAGTCGCTGATCAGCGTCAAGGTTAGTGGTGACACGTGGCGTCAACAGGAATGCCTACATCGCCTCGTGGTTGCTAGCCAGGTGCGATCTGTCACTTGTGTCATCAATCAACAAAGCACTAAGCTTGCATCTGCCCAAGGGGCGAAAAATAAATCAGTCAGAAATGCAGTTCTGGATAGACAGGTGACAGCTGGAGGTAAGGATGGACCTCAAATGAATGACACAAATTTGATTTGTAAGGTTTAGGACGGTTGGATGGATCTAGACCACATGGATATACTACAACCAGACAAAGAATAAATCGCCATGAATGATTAATAAATCGCACCCAACAGTAGGTAAATTCCCACCAGCAGGCCCCCAGGGGCAATGAGAGCCATGCGTGACTGCGTGCCCAATGCCTCGCCCATCTCCGAGACACCCACGCAAGTCCCAGGGCGGAGGGGGATGGTACGGGCTTTGGAGGACCAAACAATGCCTAACGAGGTGGCAGTGAGGAGGCGGGAGCGTGAGAGAAAGGGAGTGGTAATTTCCACAGCCTGAAGGCTGTTGCCGGGGCAGATGGGCGCCACAAGGAGGCCGTAAGAGAGGCAGATGCCCTCCACGAGGATCATGCAGACAAAGGAGCTGAAGACTACAATCCAGCCCCAACCGCCGTCCGGAGAACTGTCAATCACATTGTCTGGAAGGCAGGAGAGGTGAATTAACCACGTGAAAGAGTGAGTACTGGATCAACGCAAGAACTTGAAGGTGTAATCAAGTAACCAACCCTGTTCAGGTCCAGCAACAGAGCGTTTCTGCGTATTGGCAGGAGTGGCATTGCTGAAGGCCTGTTGAAGGACATGGCTGCGTGTGGAAGTCTGGTGTTGAAGCTGATGGTGCGAGACACCACTGCTGCCGAACATTTGAGAGGTGGAACCAACTTGGTATTGTTGCTGTTGCTGTTGTTGTTGCTGCTGCTGTTGCATGTGTTGACGCATCTCCTGAAGTGGTGAAGAAAAAAGTGGAACTGACTATAGGCTTCAAAAAGGGCATAAAATCTTCCCAAGAACATTCTGGGTCATGACGCATAGATTTTGTCCCACAGATGTGAAATCGAAACCATTCTAGGAAGTGGATGCTCGTGGAGAGAGATGTGGACACCGTGGAGGTGTAGAAGAAATCATCAACATCCGCGAATCTCGAGGACCTCTTGAATCGCAGTCTCCAAAGACGATTTTATTTGTGAATGTAAAGAGCAATCTTGAAGACTGTTTGAGAAGCCTTTAGGAAATCTTGTCTCACCAGACTGGAAGCCTTTAACACAATTCCGACCTTTGTGTCTCCCAGACCCATTCCATCAGTTGGCTGAAGGGCATTTGGCTCTAAAAGTTGACTAACTTTACAACTACTTTGCCGACATAAGAGAATTGTTTGAGCGCCCCATCTTACGCCTAATTAGAATGCAAATTAACTTTTCAAAGGTGGAATGGATACGCGGTTTTGGTGTCATGCGAATCCAACGTTTCTGTGTGTGATCGCGTTCTGGGCGATGGAATTTTCGTGCATCTAATAAATTCTAGCCACATGAAGGATGCACGATTTTAAGACAATCTCACGTTTTAGGCATGGATCCAGATCTAGAAGCCTTTGGAACCATTTCACAGGAACTTTGGATGAATTATGTCACCACCGGAGTTCCATTTCAACTGAATCCAAGCAATTCATAGGTCCGGAAAAGTCGTTTTGAAACCCTAAAGATTTGAGTCAGCATCCCGGATCTTTGCTACGAATTTGAGGTTTCGAACGCATTTGCCGGGAGAAAGAATCCCCATTTCCCGGTTCCAAGATTTATAAAAATGGCAAGGAGGACTTTTGAGTAAATGGCTGGCTAAGTAAGATGCAGTGGCGGAAATGAATTGAAACTTAAGTTGTGCTAATCGGTCTTCCATCCATCCGGCTCTTTAATCACACTTCATTCACTAACCAGACTTCCAGACAGTTTTACCGGCGTGGAAATGCTAGCAGTCTAAACTTGTGGAAAAGATTCACTCCTACAGCAGGCTGCTGTAAGGGTTACACCATCTGAACGTCATCTGAATAGGTACGTGGTTCACTACCCATGTTGGTGCAATTTCTAGCTACAAGTGTATCGTCGAACACCCAAATTAAACGCAGAAGAAGTGGTTTTTCAAAGTAATGAGACCAAAGCCAGGTGTCCAGATGCACATTCAAAACCATCCATTTAAAAGTAGAGGACTACGAAAGAGATGAGGTGGAATATGATTACTGTGATAGATTCCCACTAAGGAATGTTGAAGTCTCAATGGCTTTCCATGCAACAGCAAGGCTGGAGAGGATAATTTAACCTCCAGAGAGGCCTCGTCCACCACCATTAGGGAAAGTGGAAAAGGTCTTTGTCATAAGCTCCCCAAATTGAAAGCCCGGAACAAAAGCAAATGGGAAAAAGGGCGAGAAAGATAAATTAGACATTGCGATGGACCATTTGTTACTCCAAATCCCTTTTTTTCGATTTATGGCATGCGCTTAGTCCAAACAAACAGAAAGTCGGTTAATCTTTCGATCTTTTTGGAGAGGAGATACAACGACTTAGTAACAACAGCCAGGAGCCATATCTACAACTGGATTAGCGTTTTGGGGCCAGAAACAAGACCACCACAATTACATTTTCGACCTAAATGTGGTTGCGCAGTCCCGCAACTCTCCAGCAAACAAAAAAACTTCGAAGAACTCGAGAAGACTGAGCAATTTCTTGTTAATGGTCAGCAAAACAAGAGGGTAAGTAGCACAACGAGAGTGAAAAAAGAGGTCCAGTGTTGCTAGGCTACGGAGAAATCCCCACTCGTGTAAGTGCGTAGATGAAGGTGCTAGAAATGCGCAATTCTCTGATACTTCTATCAACAGGCAAATTCATCGGCTAAAGTGAAAGCGAATTCAGGTAGAAAGCAGAATTAAAGCGAAAGGATAGGTAGTTCGATGCAACCGACGACAGAGCTGCCATTTTGGAGGTATCCTGCTCTCTAATAGAAGGCACCCAGTGAAGACTTGTCAACTAGTAAGGAACTAAGCAAAGTCATAACATTGCGAGATATCGTTGATACTCTCGACCCACAAAACCGTAGTGATAGGGATCAAGAAAGTAACCTTAAACTGACTGCATGATAGTGGTGAAAAGGAAGAATGAGCTAGGGGGATATAAGTAACTTCTTGTGGAGAGTCGGGATGACGCCTACTCAGTACACGAAAGGGATAATTACTAAACCACTTCCATCTCATTTAGGCACCATTCGTTTCAAGTTGCAGTCACTTAACGACAACAACTTTCCCACAGTTGGAAAAATTGAAGATATCATCAACCTTTGCAACTAGTTTATCCAAGTAACTGGCAGCCACACACTACTGAACTTGAGGCTGTCATGAATCAAAAAGTGGGCGGATTCAACAACTACATACCGCCTCCCACTTAAACCTTCAGTATTCTCTTCTAACTGACGTGACGGTAGCTAGGTGGTAGGAGTCCTCCACGTTGTATGGCCACTTTAAAACTTTTCAATCTACTCGTAGGTGAAACTTCTGCAAGGGCGAGATAAATTCGTATTCCCAGCACACCATACTGTAAAGAAATATGTTCCTTTCCAATCTGGCGCAACCTGCACACAACTTTTGCGGCCATTCCCACTTCATAGTGACAAATTAATGCTAAACTGAGAGGAGAGCTGTTTGCTATGAAGTGGGAGTCGAAAGACGTTCTTAAACTTTTCCCAACGCCATTTGTAATAAAAACTCAGCTTTAAAAATTATAAGGGACCCAAAATTTGATAAGAATAACAGATAACTAAGATTTATGCATAGACTAAACAATAATAACAAAGTCCAACATATGAACTTATGCTAGCAACAAACATAAAGCTCGAGAAAAAACCAAGAATTGTCCACAGAAAAGATCGTGGAGGCCCAAAAAGTAGTCTCGGTTGAAAGTCAAATTAAGTTAAATTTTGACCAGCCTCATAACTAACAAAAAATGGTCAAAAAAGCTTTAATAAACTGGGAAACAACATGAATTTGATAGAAATGTTTTAGAACCACCATGACTGAAGTCTATAAGAAGAGAAATCGACTAGGCTAACCTGGAGGAAAAGCCTTAGATCCTCACTCTTAGTGGTCTCTTCATTTGCCTCACGCTGAAGTTGTTCAGACTCCTCCTTGCTTAAAGGACCAAAGATGGTTTTTCCCTGACTTCCATCTTCACCGATTCGATGGGCAACACTATCCTCTTCATCACCATCCGCAGCAAAAGTGTAATCCGCAACTTTCGTGTCTTCACTCCCCTCGTCGCCTTCTTGTTTATCAGAACGGGACATAATTCCCTCTGAGTCTGTCATCCGGCTCAACAAACCTGTAAAAACAGAAATATAGAAATAGAAAACTGCAGATTACACAATTGTGCAAAAATCTGAGAAGAATGCAAGTATTTTCCCATTCTTCGAAAAACTAAGATAAATTACTCAAGGGATTTGTAAGAAGAGCGGCTTTAATTGCAGGAAAAAAAGCTATAAACGAAAGCAAGGGTCTAAACAAATATGGACAAAAACTAGCCTTTTGAGAGAAATTTCAGGGTTAAAAGCGCTTAAGGCACAAAAAAAGAGACAAAATAAATAGTAAATATTACTGTTAAAAGAGCTTACATTAAGCATAGAACGAAGGCAATGGCAAACAACTGAATGAAAAAGACAATGAAGTATCGGATAGAGAGAACCGCGGAAATGAATCCTATAGCCTTTCAAGGACGGCTGTTTTTAATAGCGTATTCGAACAGAAGTAAAAAATCCACAAAAAAGCAAACTGTTGTACTAAGTATAGTGCAAAATAAAACGAACAAAACCAAAATTTTAAGCCCAGGCAATGCCACAAAAAATGCTTATCTTACATCCACGTGCTTTACTTAGCATCGATGAGTTAATTCACGACCAAAAAAGCAGACACCGGAACTAAGAAAATATAAAGTAGTTAAGCAGCTAACAAAATTTCATGTAACCACAACACAATGGAATACACCTATAGAATATGAAAGGGCCCGCACTATTTTTGTCATCCAAAAAATATTATCCTTAACTTTAATAAAATTTACAGCCAATATAATACGTTGTTTGCTGAAATAGTAATTTATGAGAAGAGATATTTGCGTTTCGGACAAGTAGGTCGGACTCTGGGGCATGCCCGTAGTCTTAACATCCACTGTGCGCCAAACGTTGTTACTTTTGGATTAGCCTTCTTGTACCTAGCTGGGTGAAATGGCCTATCGGGCTATGTCAGTAGCCCAGACACCTTCTCTACGCTAAATGTATGTATTCTGCTCCAGTATTGTGTCTTTTTTCGTTTTCAGGGAGTCTCGGGAAGCTACAATTTAATCTTCTTTTGTCTTAGAGGAGGTCTTAGGGTGCTATAGTAATAACAGCGAAAAGTGGATCTGAAATTAAAAGGCTCCTATTCTTATATAGCGTTTTGAGTCTTCCTGAAGACGAAAGAAGACACAATAGTCGGGCAGATACCAGATACCTCGCCAATGACAAAAAAATTTGATAACCTCCATGATTGGTTCGTGGAAGTTATTTTATGGCTGATGCCGATGTAATGGCTGGCGCGAAATGTCGATTGATGTGATACTTAGAAGAAGGACAAGGTTATGCAATGCATTAGTCGTTTATCAGATCCACGATTTTGATAAAGGTTACTTCTTGTACTCGATATTTTACCTTCGTCAGGTATGCTGGACTGCGAGCCATGTCAAAGGCCTTAATCGGAAGGCACGTCAAAACCAAGTCATCTACATAAACGTTACGTGGTGTTTTGTCCCCAGAAATACTTCGAATGGCTTTAATTATAGTACTCTAAAGGCCAAACGTTCCTAACAATCAACAGACTAAGTGTTACATGCATAAAATTTGCTACAAAATTATTCTGATACCAACAGTATGCCATACTTTTCCTTGCACTAGTTTTAATTACTTGTATCAGCTTAAATATGACCTTAGGGCGTTTAACGTTTTAAAATCTTGTTTCTGATTGGTTAGCTTTGCAGCGCTCTTCACGAGCCTTGCGGCCTTTTTTTGCAATTTTTGGTTCAGGGTATGCTACTGCTTTTTTCGAGAAATCGCGACAATATACGGTCTTCTACCTAGATTTTGGCCTTTAAACTATACTTTTTTGGCCTTTTAATACCAATTTTACTTGCATCTTTTAGAATATTGTCCCAATTCGAAGCTCTCATACATATATATATACTGTTTAGATAATATATGTTTTAAAATGGGATGGTTCGGTCGAGTTTGCAGCTCCTGTTTTGCTACAAAGCCGCTGCCAATTTGCTGTGCCCCACACGTAAAGGAATCTACATCTACTCGCTTTTTATACTGCTGCATTCTCACTGTTGTGTCTGTTCTCTCCGTCATCTTTCATACCGGTGGCCTTGCTCACAGCACAGCGACGCAAGTGGTTTGTTTTAGTTATCCTAAAGATTTTCCGTTCTAGCTGGGCGATATGATGCTCGAGTTCTGCAGCCATTTTCAGACCCGCGAGCATTGTGTTCGCTTCGTCGGTTACCTCGCCGTTTATCGATTTTGCATTCCTCTATCAATCTTTCACTTTATTCTTATGCTTTGTACAATTCAAAATAGTAGTAGTCAATCATGGCGCGGCAAGATTCATAACGGGTACGATTTTGATCCCCCCTCTCTCTTATTTCTCACATAGGTTCTGGTTCTGGAAATGTGCCTTCATCATCGGGCTGTGGGTGATGTCTATCTTTTTTCCCTCCCTTGATAAAGCTACCACCGGTGAGTGTGTAATTTTTGCTGTTAGCATCCACTTTTAGCCTGGATGTTGATGGCTGTGTTAGGTGGCATTGCCTTCATATATCTGCAGAATGTCTTTTTCATTGACTATGCTTATGAATTCAATGGGATTTGGTGAGTTCAACTCTGTCATTTTTATCCAAATATTCTTGATATTTAAACTGTTTTTATTGTTCTTTAAGGTTTAGAAGAAGTAAGCAAAAACCTCTCTTTCGGATATGTAAGTTCATCTTTTATCTAAGAAGTTGTTTTTCAAATATTTAAAAAGGACAGGAGAAAAATGTTTATTGGGTGTGAAGGCGCTCATTTTTTTATTTGTAATCGTCGAATTGCCTTGAAGGTTTGCCGGCTGTTTAGACGAAAGACGATGTTTTGTTTTGTTAAAAAATTTGTGGCCGATAATAAAAGAAAGCAATAGTTTGTAACTCTTCATAAGCCCTCGCGGATCCTTAAAACATTTCGAAATTGGTCATCTATTCCAACAGAGGAAGCAATGCTTACATGGTCTTTATGCGAAGGGTACTCTACACATCCAAAAATTAAACAAGAAAATGAGCTTATAGAAATTTCTAACCTGCTAAAATTGAAAATTACCTGGCATTAGTAGGGGAATGGGGAGGGTAATTTAACTTCAATTTCAAGGCATCGGTTTGTAGAGGAAAGATAACTGACCCTGTGCGTCTAAATTGCACCATTAAAAGCTTTTCGTTGCCTTTTTGAGTTGTTTTTAAGAATTAGACACATATAAGCATGTTAATGTGATTTTTTTATCTTGTAATCAACATCATCAACATTCATATCCTCATTCGGGTGTTTTTATAGGTCCCCTTTTGTTTTGATCCAATTTAAATGCTTGGATGGAGGGCTCAATCTGAAGAAGGCTATACCAAAACTTTAAAAAGTTAGGGAATGTTTTACCAGAGGGCAAGACTGATGTTAACGGATGCGTTTTCGTCGCTCGTTTCAGCCTTGATAGCGTAGGAACTTTGATTAGACGGCATCTTTCTAATCACGAAAACGAAAGGCACTGATTACGATATTTTTATATTTAAGCTCACAAGCAACCATTGAAGGTTTTTTATCGACGATCCTTAATGAATTTTGAGCCCTGAAAAAGCCATCTTTGATCAGTCGCTTAAAGTTTCCGGGGCTTTCAATATCCGCGATGACCTGAATCCACATGAGGAGATTGGATCCGGGATAGGTCGGAATATCATCGGACAAATACTGCGGAGTGTAGATCTTTTCACTGGCGTGATTTTTGGCTTGTGGTATCGTATAGGAAGTGGAGGACCAAGTTGCTTTTAACTGTTTGGCTAGTCCTGGCTTCTCCTTCCCTCGGACCTTTGCGTTGTATCTGGTTGCGCCGAGTGGGTACATCGCAGGCCAGGGTGTTTTTTTGGCCTTCAACGGGAAAAATCACGGTGAACGGTTGTGTCCGCAGTTCCCCACACATGCGGGCACGGTCTCCTGCGAGTCAATTATTCCACGGGTAGCTTTCACCGCGCCTTCGTTTAAGTTGTTTTATGTGTAAATGATTTGTTTCATTGTTCGCCTTAAGTCTGACTGAAAGTTCTTTACATGTTAAAGAAGATAGGCAATTCCCACAAAGAATAGCCAGTCCTCCTGAATGCGATGCGTACCTTTGTTTAATTCTCCACCTGAATCATGTTGTTCTTACCATTTACTCATGGACGCATCTTTTCCAAGTACTGCGAGACGAAGGGCCTTGGCCCCACTTTACAAAGTAGAATGACCGGAGCCACACCTACCCGAATTCAGCCGACATTTTAAGATGTATGCGTTGCCCTTGCATGCAGCCAGCCACCCTACGCACTGGCCTTCCGTCACTTTTGGCCACAAATTTTGTTGGCCCTCCAACCCCTCCGAGTTGTCAATATCTAACGTTGTTCAGTGGATTTAACTGCAATGAGGATTTTAAAATAATCCTACGACTAATCCCTTCCCACGCACACCAGTTGCTAGATAGGAAGCCATCGGTTTTGTGGAGCTTTGAAATGAATGGGTGGGAAAGATTGGAGGACCTAGCAACGGGGCACAAGGACCGCACACACCAACTCCTTAGCCGTTTAACTTCTCCACCTTTGTAAAGATAGATTTTTAAAAGTGTCAAGAACTCTAAACCAACAGGTCTGAAGGCTACCCTACTTTCGTAGGTGTAATTTCCGCTCCTCGCCACTAACAAGCCGATCTAGATAGGTGAATGATCAGGTTGTTTGTCCACCTTTGACACTTTCTCTTCCAAAATGAGTTTCCGGGACCCCGTTGTCGTCGAAACACTTATCCAGCGGTTATTATTTACGCGACACCGGAGAAGTGACGCCAAGGTTATTCAGAGACGGTTGGTTGTCGCCAGTGTTGAAGGTGAACGCCTCGTGCGTCACATTCGGAATGCCAGTCAGTTACAGACAGTGTCAGGCCGGTCTTAAGGAGCTAAGGCGGTGAATAACAGCGTGAAGACTGCAGTGAACATTAAGCGCCCAAATGCCCCGCACTGGACGATGGAGGAGTAGACAAATGAGTGGATGAATCAAGGAGGGATGGTTTGGAGGTGAAGTGATGCCTCCGGGACGGGCGGGCGGAGTGGTATTGTAGGAAGGATGGAAAAATAATCAGACGTCTATTCAAGCCGTTTACTTCTGTCTGCTTTGCAGTGATCTTCACCCTCACTGCCACTCTCTACTTGGGCACCTTCGTCGCTTACTTCGTACTCTGGGCGTTGTGGGGCTACTTGAACAGTTGTGTTCTCAATGCAATGATTGTCTACGTCAATGTCTGCCTCACCGCACTCCTGCTTCTCCTCTCCTTCGCCCAACCAAGAAGTAAGTTCCTCACTGCCTTGAATCTTATAAACTGCTACTCATTTCCGATATTTAGCTTTCACTTTTTTGTTTAATCCACTTGAATAAGTTTGTCTTCAAGTTGGGAAATACTCCGTCAAGCTAGTGTCTTCAGTATATGCCGTGTTCATTGATAAACTGAATTCGCTCTTAACTTGGCTGCATCAGACAGTTCCGTTTTAAACAAGGAATGGCCATGAGATGACATTAAGTGACTTGAAGACATTCCGTAGTTTTCCTGGTTCCTGTGGTTGATTACTGCCTACCTTCTGTCTCATTCAATTGAAAAAGCTGGTCCAATTGGGTAGAACTCCCCCTACACTAACCGTTCACCTCGTCATTGCCTACACTTCGGAACAAAATACGGCCAGGGCGCATCGTCGAATGACCTTCACCTGTCATCGCTTTTGGTGCATTCAGTCATTCGCACTCTGGGCTGCTACTTCAGGTAGTGAATCACTGGTTTGATACTTTTCCATAACAACTATCCGGTGGGCGTGGGCAAAAGTCAAGACACGTCGGCAGGCACCGTGCCTGCCAATATCCCATGCTTACAAGGCGTACTTACTACAGACTGGTAATGATTTGGCTCCATTTCAAAGCCCTGATCAAGTCATCTTTCCTCAACTC